GTGACAGTAAAGATGCGCAAACTAAGTTAATTTAAAATAAATAAATATTTTACAACTTAATCGAATCTCCAAATAGGAAACCTACCTTGGAGAACATTTCGATCTCTGGTTCCTATAAAAAAAGTTGGGCTCTCTGGGACTCATTCCGTATTCGAAACGGCGTCTTGTACCGGAAGTTCGAACCGGACTGTGGAAAGGCATTGCGATGGCAGCTGATACTTCCAAGATCCCGGATCCCGGTCGCCTTTAAAGAATTACGTAGCAGTCCAACAGGACGCCACTTTAAAATAATGAAGACATTGCTTAAAGTTCGAGAGTGCTTCTACTAGAGTAACGCAAATGGCTTACGTCCAAAAATGGTGCCAATCTTGCGATACCTGTGCGGGTCGGAAAGAACCGATGACATGCAGCTTAGGGAAGCTAAAAATGACGGGGCGCCTTTTGAATGCATTGCCTTTGACCTCCTTTGACCTCTGCCACGAACTGCTGATAGCAATAAATAGATACTCGTTGTCACTCATTATTTTCCAAAGTGGATTGAAGCGTATCCTATCTTAGATCAAGAGGCTGTCACGGTAGCGGAGATAATGATACAGCATTGGATTTTCATGTTTGGAGTGCTTCCTGAGTTACATTTCGATCAAGGAAGGAATTTTATCTCGGCTGTAAGTAAAGAATTATGTAAACCACTCGGCATAGACAAAACCCACAGTCAGACGGCAATGTCGAGAAGTTTAATCGAAAGATCCTTAATAACCTCTAGCTGGTATTTTCCTCAAACCAACAGGATTTGAGATCAAAAGTTACCTCTATTTTTACTGACCTGTCGCAATGCTACCATTAAACTACACGCTATCCTCCATCTCAGATGCCCGTCTGTCGCAACCTTCGTCTGCCTTGTCATCTGTTGCTTAGTCACCTTCCGGCTGCACCTTCATTCCATGAAAATTACATTCAGAATCTCCAGGTACGGTTTGAAGTTATGCACAATTTTGCACGAGAGCGAGTTAACTTGGTGACGAGAAGATGAAGACTCTATACGAAATAAGATATGCAGATGATCGATTCAACGAACGTGACAAGGTGTGGTTATGCAATCCGATGCAATGGAAAGGACTTTCTGCTAAACTACAGTTACCCTGGGACAGTCTATACACAGTCCCAAACAAGCTGAACGATATCGTAGTTCGGGTCCGTAAATTATCATATCCTAAGCGTAAAGTCGTTCATTTCAACAAGTTAGTCCCTTACTGTGGCTATAGTACGTAGTCTTATATTGTATACGAGTATAATGTAAACAGCTTACTGAGAGTATTGTCCTTATATGTATAGAAATTTGTAAATACCTGCATTCCTTTATTGATTTAGTATTTGATTTATTCTATGTTATTTGTTGAAATTCTTATTTTCGTACTGCATTGATTTTCTGTAGTTGAAAGTATTTCTTCCTGTCCAGGAATTGTACGACCCGAGATGTGCAGTCCTTGGAAGGGGAAAGTGTTACGAATATTCTACATATATAAATAATTTTAGTGAAATTATGTTTAAAATTATAACATGAACGTCCTCAAAATTGTGAAGCTTCGCTGGAAAAAGGAGATTAGAGAGGATTTCAATTTAACATTAAGGTTAATCGCTCTCTCGCCAGATTGGCAAAATAGCGTCAAACTCGCGATGTTTTTAAAAACTAATTTTCCCGCCAAATTTGGCGAGAAATTGCCAAAGGCTTTTAAATTTGGCGACATTTTGTTCCATTCTCTATATAGCTGCAGTTGGTGTGAACCCTATAAGTAACTATCCTGTCTTATATTTAACTGTAACTTTTTATGCCTTTTAGTAATTTTAAGAAATCGAAGGTACTGGAAATTTCTTAGCAGATGGTGGAAAATTGTATAAGTTAGAGAGAGCAGAAGTTCTCACTTCAATTCAGAGTTTAACTCAGAATTGAGAATACTGAGAGATTACTGTGCGTGCTTAGGTATCGAGGCCTCTTATAGAGTTTAGTGTTTAATGTTCTTAGTAGTTTCAAGTGGTAACTACGGATTGTGTTCTACCATACTGAGAAAAGCTGTACGAGTACTTTTGGGAAAATTTTCAGAACTGTAAAGTATCTCTCTGGGGAAAATAAATTTTATTAAGCTATCATTGCTTCTGTGTGCATTCAATCTATTACGGACATGTGCGTATGTAACAAAATTAAAACACTTTATTTGAAATAAAAATGAATCAGAAAAAATTCTAAAAATTATTGGAAAAGATGAATTTGCACAGTTTAATTTTGATTAAGAGATGGCAGCATTATTGCTTGCATTTTCTTTAAGGTTTTTTTTTTTTTTTTTTTTTTTTTTTATAGAATTCCCTTTTACTTTCGCACTCAATTGAAAACCGGGAGATTTGTATATTTATCTGGACAGCAGGAGATTTAATGAATGATAAATAATCTTTGAGTTTATACTCATAGAGCGTGTAGTGAGATAGCTTATTATAAACTCAAAGAGTGAGAAAGCTGTTAGCTTTGAATGACATTTTAGATGTTAATGATCTGAATGGTCTTAATTTCATATTGCAATTTTTGAAATGTATTGAAAAGTGATATATGGCAATACGCAGTTTTCTTTCCTGCATTTGCATTGAAATGTGAGATCTAGTGTGTTTTCAAGCATAAAGTGGTCACTAGATCTACGTGAGGGTTAGCCTTCGGACTTCTAGCACAGGCGTGGATATGAACACAGCGGGGAAAGGGTGTATAAAAGAACCTTTATTTATCACAAATTATAACAGAAGGTATAAACTTATGTTATTACACAAAACATCGACCACTTGCGGTGAGAACTTAGAAGTTAATTTAACAATCAATTTAGAGATGTAGTGCTTGACTACACAATTCAATTTAATCTAATAGGCTAACTCAGAAACCTACACCGGCGATATACTAGCTAGATGGCCAGAATGCGTAGCCGCTACTAAGATTAATAGCCGGAGATCAAAATACACCGCTGGCCATTAATACTGCAACACTATGAAGGAAATTAAATACAAAAAAGATATTTATTGCACTTAAACAGTACGGCATGAAGACAAAATGATTAAATTTGTAAGCATTTTGGAGGTTTACAGGGGTGCGAAATTAGTTGAAACAGCTGTCATCCGTGGCAGCTAAAATGGCCCTTACCGTTAGGCATGGAGCAAACTGGGCTTGGATGACAGAAATGGGCAACTCATGCCATGCTGCTTCAGATTCACACTTCATCAACCGTATCAGCTGGAGAGGGGTAGCAAGCCAGTCTCTCAGTAACCCATAACCAGATGTTTTCAGTGAATGACAGATCTGGAGATCGTGCAGGCCAGGACAACAATGACCTTGTGTGTCGAGGAAGGTCAGAAGACGACGTGCAACACGTGATCTTTCATTATCTTATTGGAACATGGCGTTAGGGGGCCTCGAATATAGGGTACAACCACTGGAAGTAAAATGTCAGAAATGTACCCTTCTGCGTTCAAATTACGTTCGATACGAACTAGAGATGTGCGTGTCATGGACCTAATGTCTGTCCAAACCATCACACCAAGTGCAGGGCTCCTATGCCGATATCGTGCGTGCTCCTCCAACACTCCAGACACTTTTATACGGCCATTAGAATACTGCACGTAGAACCGGGACTCGTTTGAAAAGGCCCAATCGTGTGCTACTCCTGTACCCAACTTTGTCGTTTGGCGCACCAGAGTCGGCGTCTCTCTCTATGCAAGCATTGTCAAGGAAAGCCGAAGCCATGGTCACCCTGCTGATAGTCCACGCTGCTGCAAACGCCGATATACCTTACGAGTTGATATATTGGGCGTGCTGCAAACATACCCATTTTCATTCCAATGGTCCGTGACGTGCTTGTACGGTTTTGTAGGGTTGACCTAATAATATGTTTGCCCTCTCTGGCGTTAGTCCTGGGATGGCGTTGAGATCCTGCAGCATGCCGTTCAGTACGAACCTCAGCAATCCGTTGATTCCATATTCGCATGGTTGGATGTCGACTAGTGCGACCAGCGATATCATGGAATGATATCTTCAATTTCGATAGGCAAAGATCCTGCCTGTATAGAATTTCGAAACTTGCTGGTAAGCATTTCCTCTTCTCATTCGAGACATAACACGATATTCTGAGCAAACTCCAAACTTATAAAGCACATTCCGAATGAGAAATCCACTACACAAGCTTTCTTTTATGCAGTACTTTAGATATCGTTACTCCCTCTTGCGTCGTCTAAATGTGCTGAAATACTAATCCATTTCCATAGTTCAGCTTCTTCATTTCATGTGATTTTGACTTTCGACAGTCAGATCATTCCTTCCTCTGTTGCAATTTTAATAGCCAGCAGTGTAGCAAATGCGCTTCACTAGCGAAATCAGGCTCTGTCTAAACCTATTCGTTTCAGCAGTTTAAATACTCTCGTTTAGATCCTGGCGAGGAAATGGGAGGGGGAATAAAATAATTCAGAAAAGGCTCTAAAATTAAAATAACTGTTAGTAAAACTAAATACTATAAAACTTTTGATAATTTTTTTAATTTATCACTGTTGTATAGTAGTATTGACAAAATGCAGGAATTGAAAATATTATGATACCTAGTGTCTAAAGTTTTTAAAATAAAGAACAATTTTTTTAAATTAACTGAAAATTTCGTGTAAAAACTAAATAAGCTGGCAATCGTAAACTACATAAACTAGATTCTTTCATATAATCAGCATGTCAAACATAAGAAACACAAAAGCCACTGTAAAATAACTGAAAACATTTATTCAGTCATTATGTGATGAACAAGAATGATGCTAATTGGAGTGCAATATATGATTGTGCCTCGCAGTAATGACATACAAATATCTCAAGCATTTCAAGTACTTTTTTTAACGAGGAATTCTTTTATTCAGAGTAAATGTTCTAGTCATTCGCAGCATGCTTTAAAACTAATTTCTGTCAAAATCTTGTTAAAATCTCTTTTATTTTTCAGACATATCTTTTGAATCCAAAGGCATTTTCAAATAAAGAATTATTTGGGCATTTTAAAGCTGCTGGAGTTTGGCAAAATGGTTTATTTCCAACTGTATTAAAGGAAGCTAATCGAAATGAAAAAATCAGGGAAAAGTGGATAATTTTAGATGGGCCAATTGATGATAAATGGGTTGGAAATATTCATGCATTATTGGACAGCAGTAAAGTTTTAACTGTATCTAATGGAGAAAGGATTTTACTGCTGCCTGAGGTATATCTTTTTTCTGTTTTTTTTTTATTTTTTTATTATTTATTATTTTTATATTTATTACTTTTGATTGTATATTTTCTAATTCTAGGTAGGTAGAATTTCGATTATTATGTCTTCTTTATTTTAAACTATAAGTGGACTAATATTTATTATAAATGATAATGTATTGAAAGTTTACGTATTTGTCACTGTATTCATACTTCAACAAATTTTCCTGTAGATTAAAATAAAATGCTGCATATTACTGTATTATTTAAATTTCAGGTTTCCGTAATATTTGAGACTACCGACATTATTCATTGCTCTCCTAGTGTTATTTCTCGTTGTGGAATTGTTTATCATGGAACTGCTACTGTTAGTTGCAATACACGCATTTGCTCCTGGCTTCAGCAGATTGAAAATGATGCAGTCAGGAAAACGATGGAAGAAGTTATTGATGTTTATTTCGAATATGTCATTGATTTTTCCCTTAGTAATTTAAAAAGTCTTAAGTTAATGTGTTCAACATCTCCCAGTTACATCTCATCATTTTGTAAAATTGTAGATGCTTTCATTAAAAAGGTAAGTACTTATTTACTTTTTAATTTTGGAAGCTCTTTTAGTTATACAAAAGTGTATATAAATTATAAATTTTGGAAAATGATGTATCCAATTTTTTTTTTCCTCTAGGCTTTTTACTATTCATTATTATTATTTTTTTTATATTCTCTTATTGAAATTGTTAAATTTTATTGCTCTGTAATTAGCAGATGTGTAACTATGCAACGAGCATGCGTACACAGCACTGTAACATAATGCATAATTACACAGCAAAAGACATATTTGATTTTGATTATTTAAAACCCTTCGTGAGTTGAATTTTTATTAATTTATTTGAATCACAGAAAATCTTGTTTTTAAATATTATAAATAGTTTGTAATTGACATTGCTTCCAATTTTAATGCAAAATTTAAACAGTAATGTAATTTATAAAGCTATACATTACTTTAATAATACTTTATAATAATGATTTTGATAGTTAAAGCTTCGTTATTAATTATTTTGCTCCCTATTCAGCAGGCATTAAGTACCTCGCCCCCGTAATGAGCCCATTACCTTATAGAGTCTGTCTCTCTTGTTCCGCATAAACTAAAATAGACCCTATAATGACCTGGCGAATTCTTGCACAGGCGTGAATAAAACTACTGACCAAGACGAAGGGTAAAAATAACCCTTTATTAATTCAAAATAGTTAA